CTACCTCACCTGGAATGTATATCTGAGGCCTTGAATAATGAGGAAGAAGGAGGTAAATGGATAAATGTTGCAGCTTCTGCAATTGCATGGGAAGGTGCCATTGTGGTATGAGGAGGTGTCGTGAATTGAGGGGAAGTGGACCAGGGTGTTCCTAGAGGAAACAGTTCCTGCTGAATCAAAGTTTCTCCCCACATCACTAATTCAGCATGGCCTCTGCACTGCCTGCTCACTCACTAGGAACTCCTCATCACATTACCCTTGTCCCACCAGCACTTAGAGCAGTGCCAGCCACTTTCACCTCACTCATTCTCTTCCTCTGCCTCATTCCACAAAAAAATGGCTATAATAGGACTGAAAGAGCCCGGACAGGTGGTGGGGTGCCCAACAGTGGGGTCCCCTAGAGGATAGGATCCTTGCCTTAGTGGGAGAGGACTATGACTGTTCATGTGGAGATGCTGAAACCGTGATGATCTGGCAACCAAGTAATTGTCCATTGCTATGCTGCTCTCTCATTCTTTACATGCCAAAACCTCTCGTCCTAATTCACAACTCATGTTTTGTCTCCTGTAGGTTCAGTGGCATCCGCACAGAGTCCACTGTAAAGAGGACAGCCTTGCAAGACAAACCCTTCTCAGCTCTGAGGGAGAATCTAAAACATTGAATGTATTCAAGAGGCAGTTAGATATAGCACTTGGGGTGAATATAATCAAAGGTTATGGGGAGAAAGTAGGGTTAGGTTATTGAGTTGGATGATCAGCCATGAACGTGATGAATAGCGGAGCGGCCTCAAAGGGCCAAATGGCCTCCTCCTGCTCCTATCTACTATGTTTCTATGCTACAGATCCCTCAAAAGAAGCTTCGACAAGGCTGCTTCCAGCAACCTCCACAACTCAGATACTGACACCTCAGTAAGCACGTTAATTAGGTTAGAGGTGTGAGCACATGCTGGTGAGCACCACACTGCTATGTGTCTGCAGCTGGTCGAGGAAGAAATACCCCATGTTTCTGATACTCCGAGGACAACCAGAGATCATATATTTGCTCAGCCCGAGGCAGGACAAGACTCCATACTGTTAGCCATGAAGAACTTCATCCAAATACACATGCAGACCCAGGAGCAGCAGGCAGGTTTTTGGGAGGCACTAGCACTAGAGAGAATGTAGGATCAATGATGGGGATCTGTGAGTACTACAGCATTTTGATGATGAGGACATTCCTCAGATGTAGCAGCACCTTCAGCATCCTAAAAGAGACAATACTAAGAACTAAATTGTTCAATTTTCCATGAAGGATAAGATAATTTAAGAAACAGTAAATCCATTCCAAATCCTAAGGGTGACCTCTGTGTGGAAATTGAAGATGGGTTGGGTTGGTATGATTTTTAATGAACAGTTGTGTCTATTTTCACAAAAGAGAGGGATGATGTAGACATTGCAGTCAGAGGGGAGGATGGATAATACAGGCATTATAATGAGGGAAGGAGTATGAAATATTAAATTAACATTGTGAGAGAAGTGTATTGAAGGGTTGAACATCTTTAAAAGTGGATAATTGCCTAGGCCCATATGAACTATAACCTGGGCAATTAAGAGAAGCAAGGAATGAAATAGCAGAGACTCTGACCATCATTTTCCAATCCTCTCTGGCTACTGGTGTGATGCCACAGGACTGAATATTGATAGAAGGAGATAGACTGATTATTAAGGGACAGTCAACTTAACCTTGTTGTGGGAAAATGATCTTAAAAATCCTCAGGGACAGGTTAAAGCTTCATTTAGAAAGGCATAGATTAATTAAACACAGCACATTTGTTAAGGAGAGATCATGTCTGATTAACATAATTGAATTTTTTTGAAGAAGTAACTAGGAAGGTTGATGAAGGTGGTGCATTTGATGTTGTCTATATGAATTGTAGCAAGGCTTTTGATAAGAACACAGATGCAAACTGGTCATGAAATGATAACTCATGGAATCTAAGGTGAAGAAGCAATTTTGAACTAAATTGGCTTAGAGGCAGGAAACAAAGGATAATTGTTAATAGATGTTTTTGTAAGTGGAAGACTATTCTAGTAAGGTTTCACAGAGCTCAGTACTAGGTCCTTTGCTTTTTGTGTTCTATATTGATGATTTAGACTTGAATATAGCAGATATGATTAAGACATTTGCAGGTGATATGAAAATTGACTGTGTATCTGGTAACAAAGAAAGATACTGAAGATTATAAGAAGAAATCAATGGACTACCCCAGCAGATTGATTGGTAGAATTCAGTCCAAAATTGGGGAAGGCTAACAAGGCGAGGGACACACAGGAATTGATCAGATACTGAAAGTGAAAAGGAACAACAAGACATTAGCATGTATGTCCAATATGACTGGATATTTTGATGCGCTGGACAAGAAGGTATGCAGGATATTCACTTTTAGTAGCTGAGGCATAAAATATAAAAGCTGGGAAGTTGTATTGGAACTGCAAAAACTCTGGTTAGGACACATTTCTGGAGTACTGCATGACTTTCTGGTCACTGTACTGTGGAATGACGTGATTGCATTGGAGAGAGTACAGAAGAGATTAAAAAGGATGCTGCCTGAACTGGACAATTTTTGTTACAAGCAAAATTTTAATATACAAAGGCTGTTTTCTTTAGAACAGAGAAGGTCAAGGATAGACCTAAATTGAAATATTTAAAACTAGGATACATCAAGACAGGGTGGATATAAAGGCTCTATTCCCCGTGGTTGAGGTGGGTCTATAACCTGGAGGCATGTATTTGAGGTAATTGGCAAATGGATTAGTGGGGAGTTAAGGAGAGTTTTTTTTTTCAACCATAGCGTGGTGGGATCAGGAACTCACTGCATGAAAGCATGGTAGAGACACAAATCATCACCACATTTAAAGATTGGATATGCACTAGAAGTAGAAGTGTGGTAACCTATAATGCCGTGGACCAAGATCTGGAAAGTGGAATTAAGCTGGAAGGCTCCTTTTTAGCCAGCATGGACACCATGGTCCAAGTGGACTCCTTGTGTGCTGTAAATTTCTAAGATTCTATGAGGTCAGGTTGCATAGACAAGGCTTGTACTTCCTTGAATATAGAAGATTAAGGGGTGATCTGATCAAGATGTTGTAGATGATTAAAGGATTTTATTTGGGAGGGAGATACGTGCTGTTTTTGCTGGTGGGAGAACCCAAGGATGCATAACTTTAGATTTCAGGAGTGATGTCAGGAAGCACTTCTTCACACAAAAGATAATGAAAATCCAGGCATTTCTTTTCCGAGAAGCTGCTGAAACTCGGGGTCAGTTGAAAATTTCAAAACTGAATTGATCAATTCTTGGTCACCTGCAATATTTAGAGTTACAATACCCAAGTAAGTAAGTGAAGTTAAGATACAAATTAGCCATAACCTATTTGAATTGAGGAACAGAGTTGAGGGGTTGAACGGCTTACTCATGTTTATATGTTCTTCCACATTTCTAAGGGTCTGGGACATCTGGGGAACACTACTTGGAAAATGTTACATGTTGTTTTAAACATGCATTTTGCTTAATGTTAATGATTACAAATAATTCTGTATATATGTTGCCTGTAATATGGAAACAATGGCCCATGAAATTTCACAGCATGATAAGGCAAAAGAAAAGATGGTGGGTGAAAGAAATGGTTTTAAAGGTGGTCTCAGGAGAGGGAGAGAGATGGAACAGTTTAGTTCAGGAGTTTCAGAGCTTGGGGCCTAGACAACTGAAGACACAGTTACCAATGTTGGAGTTAAACACAGTGATACAAAATGTGTCAGGGTCAGAGAAATGGAGAACTGTGGAGTGGGCTGTAGGGCTAAAAGAGCTAACAAAGATATGGAGGAGTGAGGTAATTTATACCTGCTGTTGTACCAGCCTCCCCACCTTCTCCTACTCATTATATATTTGACCATATTATTTGCCTCCCTCACCGTCACCTGTCCACTGTCTCTCTCTCCATTTCACTATGTTACATTCACTGTCTGGGGGATGGTACAGATGGTTTCTCACTAACCATCCAGGCCGTCATTAACTACTGTCTCACCTCCATTCATTATCTATGTGTCTTCTATCACTAGTCACCCAGTTCCTCATCTTTTCCATATATCATTGCTTTACTCTGCTTTCCATTCACCTTCATTTCATGCCCTACTTCCAGTTGTGGTTGTTAAACAATAATCTGAAGGAGGTAAGAAATCAGTGCCAAGATTATCACTGAAAATACCCAACAGATCAGGCAGCATATGTAGAGAGAGAAATAGTAAACATTTGAAGATGTCAAAAAGAAAACTGCAGATGCTGGAAACCAAGGTAGACAAACAGGAGGCTGGAAGAATACAGCAAGCCAGGCAGCATCTGGAGGCAAAGTTTCAAGTATAACCCTTCTCAGAATTGTTCCTGCTGTATTTCAGACATTGTCTTTCTCACTGTAAATGTTAATTTTCCATAGCTGTAGATTGTTTCCAGCTGGCGTATAGGAAAGAGTTGCGGAGTTAAGATTGACCTCAAAGCACTGTTACAATGGGCCGAATGGCTTCCTTCTGTACTGTAGGATTCTGTGCAGACCTGCTGGTGGCTCGGAATAAAATCAGTGATCAATGTGATCACAGGTTCCATCGAGTCTGTGTTCAACTGGTCTCAGGAAGATTTGTGACCATCTACTAGGAGGAGGAAGTTTGCTCACTAGTCAGCAACTCTATAGCTGTTGAGAAACGTATTTAAATATCAGGTGAGGATTAGGATAGACTGTGATGTCTTTCAAAGTCGACTTCTATGCCATGTGTAAATTCGTTTATGGAGACGTGAGTGAATTGAAGGATGCCTGCTAAGAGTAAAACCAATCAGAGAGGAACCAGAGGCTCAGCTGTCATGGTGAGTGAGGAGCAATCTCTTGCATTAGCTCCATGCGTATTATATGCTGATCAACAGACCCCGCCCCTCTGTCATGTAAAGAGTTACCACCCCTCTCCTTCACTGTAAGCCGCTACTGCACCGTACAGTGTCTAAATGGGCGATCGCAAGGTGATCAATGTTTACCTCCTGGGATTCGGCTTCATGCTCATCTTCACAGCCTTTACCACCTGCGGGAACATAGAGGTGAGTGTTAACCCGGTTGACATGAAGTATACGGGCAGCGAGTCCCAGGGAAACAGAATACAGTGTTAACCTCTATTACAAGGGTTAAGTACTGTGTTTTGGGTGCTGGAAACTTGAAATAAAGACAGAAATATTCACCATCTCTGGACAGACAAACGGAGTTAAAGTTTCAGGTCTGTAAAGCTTCCTTAAAACCAACAATGCTTCGAGATGTAATAATTTATAAACAAAGCGGTGAAAGGGAAGGTTTAAAGAGCAAGCTGCAAGGTCTGTGATATGAGGGAAGATTCAGAACGAAGATGTTACAATGCAAAGAGAAATGTTAATAAGGAAATAAAAGTTGTAATTAATTAGACTTGAATGGACAGGGTGGAATTTGCAACCAACAGTTGCTGTCCAAAACACAAGGGGCAAAGCTTTTATCTGAAATTGTTGAACTTAGTGCTGGATCCGGAAAGGCTGGAAAAAGTCCATAAAAAGGTTCCTCGAGTTTACGTTGAGTTTCTTTGGATCCACGCAGGAGAGGTCAGAGTAGGAAAGTAGAGAATTAAAATTATAGGCTACTGGATGCTCTGGTGCTAGCTTTGTGGCCTGAATAAAGGTGTACCACTAACTGATCACCTTATCTGCTTTTACCTTCCCCCAAGTATAGTGAGCAATAAATCCAGTAGGTTTATTGAAAAACGTTTAAGTAAAACTGTTTATCACATGGAAGGTGCGTGGTGGTCTTCAGTGGTGAGAACGTGCCAGGAAAAGGACAGGTTGCTTCTACTGTGCATGCTACTATGGGAAGAAGGGTTTTGGGGGTGACTAAGAAGTGAACCCAGAGGGTTGGGGAATGCTGATAAGGGTTGGAGCTATGTTTAGTGTTGACATATCGTGGAGGCAACAAAAAGACCAGAAGATGATCTGTTGAACATGGAGGCTGTAGGTTGGAAGGTGAGAACAAGGGAATCTTCTCATGCTTCTGGCAGGGAAGGGGGCTTATGCCAACCATTGCCAAACAGTCGGCTGACATTGACTGACCAGCCCACGTTTGAAGAATGAAATACTGGAGGAGTGATGGCAAGAGGCCAGCTGGAAATGAGGGGACAAACAGACCTTACAGGAGAAACTGAAATAATTGGCTGCTGTTGCTATTTACTCATTGATTCATAACATGTGATATCTTGACTGGGACACAACAGAAACTCTGTTCTTTAAATAACATTATCTCCCACCACCAACCCATGATCATGACATCATTTGAACAGGAGTCACAGGGCACATCTCAATTTAACTTGCTGGTCAGAACCATACTATATTTACAGCACAGGGTAGGCCAATCATATCTCTGCTGGCTCATTGCTCAAGCAACCAAAAACAATCCCATTGCTTACCTCTCTCCTTATAGCCCTGTATCTTCAAATCTTTCTATACCAATAAAAACCTTAGCAAACCACCCTTCTCTGCTCAAATACAGATTGTTTCAGTAACTCAAGTCCCTCACCATAACAATAAACACAATATTTGGACAAACTTAACATTATATCTTTACTTGAGAACATGTTTCATCTCTCTCTTACACACTTTTTTTTCTCTTTCCTTCTCGGTGTGATAGCTACAGCGTAAATTCATCAGGATGATGGAAAGGTTGAGAATTAAGAGTTACTACATGACAGCTGAAATTTAAGTCTATATTCAAAGGAGTACAGAGAGTTAGTGAAAATCCAACAAGTAATCCATATTCTGGGAAAGCTTAAAATTATATGTTGAAACATTAATTGAACTGATTGATGACAAGAGGCCATAAATTAGTCCCTAGTACTAGAACAGAAGGAGACCTTTCAGCCCATGGAATTTGTTTCACAATTCAGGCTTAATTTGAATAACCATATTGAATGTCAGGATTGTTGAAGGTAAAAATGGTCAGCCTGACTTGGGGGCACTAGTTGTGGTCTTATGGCACAGATTCAGACCAGACTCTTATGTGTGGATGTTCTGCCTTGCCTGCAACCATTCTGTCAATGCAATGGAGTCAGCGTAGTCAGTTATCAAGATTAATATAATGTGCTGTAACACAGTAAACCTAGAACGCAGACTGTGTGTAAGTCTGTGATATCATAGCATTGTAAATAATTAGTATTGTAAACAAATTTCAAATATCTGATTCAAGAAGAATCAAGAAGAAGGATGTTGCCAGGTATGGAAGGTTTGAGTTAGAAAGAAAGGCTGGATAGGCTGGGACTTTTCTCACCGGAGCATAGGAAGTTGAGGTGACCTTGTAGAGGTTTACAAAATCATGACGGGTGCAGATAGGGTTAATGATAGGTGTCTTTTTCCTTGGATGAGGAATTTCAAGACTGGGGGGCTTTTAAGGTGAGAGGTGAGAAATTTAAAATAAGATATGAGGGGCAAATTGTTTACACTCAGGGTGGTTTACATGTGGAATGAATTTCCTGAGGAAGTGGTGGATGCCAGCACAGTTACAATGTTTAAAAATCACTTTGGTAAGTACAAGAATAGGAATGGTTTGGAGGGATATGGGCCAAGAGCAGGCAGGTGGGATTAGTTCATTTTGGAATTATGTTCAGCATGCACAGGTTGGTCCGAAGGGTATGTTTCCATGCTGTATGACTCTATGACTATGACTCTATAAGAACCTGACCGTCTGAGTTATATATTGTGTGCACTAATGTATAGTAAGCCACGTGTATCCTCCGTCAGCTGATGGATCAGTACTCCTCCATTTTGAACACCATGGCGGAGGGTGGCAAGGGCATGAAATGTATCCTGGATGGTGGACTTCAAGGTCCATCACAAACAGTGGCTCAGTTGCACCACTATTGACCAAGCTAGCCTTTACTTAAACACATAGCTGCTAGACTTGATCTGTGGCTGGTGATAAATCAACTTGAACTCATCCTCACTAATCTACCTGTTACAAATGCATCCCTCATTAACAGTATTGGTAGGAGTGAATAGCATACAGTCGTTCTATAAAGGAAGTCTCATTTTCACATTGAAGATACCCTCCATCATGTTGTGTGGCACTACCTAGGTGCTAAAGTGGACAGACTTCAAACAGATCCAGCAAGATGTTGTTGTACACACTGGTAGGAATGACATTGTTAGGGAAAGGGTTAAGGTTTTGCAGAGTGAATATAAGAGGTTAGATAGAAAGTTAAAGAGCAGAACCTGAAATGTAGTAATCTGTGGTTTACTTCCAGTGTCGCATTCTAGTGAGAGTAGGAATAAAAAGATAGGGCAGAGTAAACCAATTGCTGAAGAGACATTGCAATGTGCACGGATTCAGATCTTTGGATCATTGGGATCATTTCTGGAGAGAAAAGACCTGTTCAAAAGGTATGGGTTTCACCTGAACTGGAAAGGGGCCAGTATTCTGGCAGGGTCGTTTGCTAGTTCTATTTCAGGAGGCTTTAAACTAGAGGGCAGTGGGGGGTTTCCTAAGTAGCAGTAAAAATAGAAAGACAGATAAGTATGGTTCTGAATCAGAAAACTGCAAGTTAATTAGAAAAGGCAGGCGAGAGCAAGTCAGAGAACGAGGTAATTCTGAAGAATTAAACTGCATTTATTTCAATACAAGGCATCTTATAGGTAAGGCTGATGAACTCCAGGCAGGTGGGGACTTCAGATTGTAGTAAAGAGAGGTTAAAGATGTCAGCGAATATTCCCGCTGGCTGGTCCACACAGGATCTGAGCGCTCGGCTGGGGACTTCATCTGGGTCAGTTACTTTCCATGAGTTCAATCTCAAGAAGGTTCTCGGAGGGAATAGGTGTATCCAAAGCTGTCAGGGCCGGTAACACCATTTCACTGACGTTCTGTTCAAATTCAGTGTAAAAAGCATTGAGCGCATCAGGGAGGGATGTATTTTTTTTGTCCACTATTCTGGTCTGCTTCATTTTGTAGCCCGTTATGTCGCGTGGGCCTTTCCACACGTGGTTGTCTGTGTGGCTAGTTTGGGTCACTAACTTAGTTCTGCAGTGTCTCTTGGCATCTCTAGTGGCCTTGCAGAGGTCATATTTGGATTTCCTGTAAAGGTCCGGATAATCTGACTTGAATGCCACATGCCTGGTCTTCAGTAGGCAATGGATTTCCTGCTTCATCTATTGTTTCCTCTTGGGGAACATACAGATTGCGTCCCAAAGAAGTCAGTCTGTGCTAATGAAGTCTATGACTGTGCTATGAGGTTGGCAGAGGTGAACTCTCACAGCAGGTAGATAGGGACAGCATTTCACTGTTAGATATTCTATGTGTGGGGAGCAGTAACTCACCAGGGTCACCACATCTGAGCACTAGGAGTTATTGATTAGGATGTAGACTGCACTGCCCCTTGCCTTACCTGAGGACACCATGCAGTCCACGTGATATATAGAGAAACCTTCAGGTTGTGAGGCACAGTCAGCTGTAGCAGGAGTGAGCCATGTCTCTGTAAAACAGAACACACAGCAGTCTGTCAGTTCTCTCTGGAAGATAAGCCTAGCTTTAAGTTCATTCATTTTGTTAGAGGAGTGAAGGTAGTCTATGGTCAAGGGGTACCATCACATTTTGTCAAATGTATTGTCTAGTCTCAGTCAGGGAGTGAGCCATGGTCAGTCAGGCACTTGGTGTGATCAGGATCCAGGGATCTGTGTCCCTCCAGTCCAGAGTCTGGCCCATGGTCAATCCTGTAGGTCAAGTCTAACCAGTCCAGGATTATCGTTAAATCAGTCAGGGATTGTGCTCATGCAGAGCTGTCCTTACAAATCATTCTGTGGGCTCGCCATAGTCACCTGATGGTTTGGGCAGTAAATATCAATTATCAGAGAGCAATCCATGCTGTGCATGGGAAAATGGGAAACTCAAAACTGGGTATGGGATGCATTGTGGCTGTAACTCTGAGGGAATAAAGACTATGAAGGGGGCTGACTCCAAAGTATAAGATTAGGGAGGCGATGGCCCAATCATATTCGAATCCTGCCATGGCAGATGGTTGTAGAATTTGAATTCAATGAAAATCTGGAATTAAGAGTCTAATGATGACCATGAATCCATTGTCGATTGTTGGATAAACCCATCTGGTTCACTAATGTTCTTTAGGGAAGGGAACTGCCATCCTTTTCTGATCTGCCTTACATGTGACTCCAGACCCACGGCAATGCGGTTGACTCTAAACTGCCCCTGGGCAATTTGGGATGGGGAATAAATTCTGACCTAACCAGCGGTGCTGTCATCCCATGAATGAAAAGAAATATTAGCATGGGAGGGTGTGGGATACTGGAGGAAGAGTGTTTTGGCAAGTCAGCACCACTCTGACTTCAATGGCTGGACAATGGATAGTGATAGTGGCGGGAGGTATGTGCAGTGGCAGAGTTAGAGTAAGTGTGAGGTAGTAGAGAGAAGGCAGTGACACTTACCTTGCAGAACACAGAAGATCACTAACCGTCTTGTAGCCCTGCTGTGCATTCCTCTTATTCCATGAAATGACACTGACCGGGGCTGCTACCTGAGTCCGTGTTGGGCTGTGTCTGGTGCCATTCTGTCTGGCATTCTGTCCTCTCATTCTACTGTAAATCCTAACACAAAGTAACTATTCAGTATGTCCGTCATTTCCTCATTTTCGTTGACAATATCACCTTCTATATATTTTCAAGGGGCCCACATTACTCAAACTGTTGTGGGTCCAGAATGATCCAAGAAGGTTAATAAATGACCCAGTGAAGTAAGCATCACCCACTGTAATAATATCATGAGGACTTCATGGGAGAGTAAGTAGGATCTCATGGGAGACAGACCTAAGGCTATGTCCTCCCAACAGTCTTTGTAGTGATGTAGAACCTATTCTTATGACCCGTATATATTTGCAGAGATGGAATAAACTACATCTTGCTTACTCTACAAGCCTCTTCTCATTGAACTAGAAAGTAGCTACCATTGCAAGCAAAAGACCAAGTAACCCTTAAAGAACACACAATTAAAAGATATAGATGGCAGCACACAAGCCAACCACTTTCATATCCCAATGTAATTGTAAAAGTTTTTTGAGTTGATTTTGATAGTTGCAAGCTTATTATACTCCCTTTTTATAGTTCCTACTTTCTGTTTTGTCCTTGTGCTGATTTTTTTCATATACACTTCCTGTTCGCCAACATATGTGTTGTTTTTTGCAATGGAGTTTTTAATGCTTTCCTTCTGGTTTTATGTTTTTTCTCACCGCTTTAGTTGTCTATGTCTGTATTTTGGGCAAATAGAAACCCTGCCCTTTGGAGGCATAAGCTGATTTTCTATCGTGTCAAATTCCTTTTTGAATGCTTGACTCTAATCAGTGGCATCAAACCCATGAACAGATAATCCCACGTTACAGTGATGGTCTTTGTTTCATGCCATTAGAGTCAGCATTACCTAGAGTTAGAATCTATTACCTTTCACATTTATCCCTTCCAAACATTTCATTTCTTTATTCATAAGTAATTATAATTTGGCCACACACCATGCTTTGAACACAAAATTTAGAGTGACTCTTCAGTGGAGTACTGAGAGAGTGCTGCACTATTATAAGGACTGCCTTTCAGATAAAACATTAACCATTAAACCAATGTGCATTCTGCTAGTTGGGGCAGATGTTAAATATCCCAGGTTCAGTATTGAAAGGAGACTCCTCCCTGATTCTGTGAGTCAATGTACAATTCTCAACCAAGACCATTAAAAAACCTATTAACACATCTCATTTCTGCTTGTGGGATCTAGCAATGTGGTGAATGGTTGGCCCTTGTGTGCCTGAGAAGTGTAATGTGAACTTGCTTCTACTGTGGATATTTCTGAGAAATTTATAAATGTAAATCCTTTCAATGTTCTTTTGCAGCAAACAGTAATAAGGAGTTTGACCAACAGCAGTTTCTCCGGCAGCGGTTACAACAGGTACCAGAAATCCTGACTCTTTACTGACTGCTGAAACAGTCTGCAGCATTATATGCAGACTGACGTACCCCACACCCCATCTCACAGCCTTTACACTATGCTTCTGGTAGGTGTCTTAGTGGCCAATATCATTTGACTAATTGCCAGCCATCCACAGACTTAATCAGGGTTGAGGTAGGAAAGCAGTAGGGACCCAACCAATAAATCCCATATCACCAAGCTCACCTCAAGGTGGCGGGGTGGTAGAGTTCAATTATGCCCTAGGAGCATGACAACATGCACCTGATTTGGTTTCCATTAATGCTGGTGTGACATACTGATCTCCCTTCTCTGAGGCGTACTTGAAATCTGATGTTCCCCAGGTTGCGAGGAATCAGTGCACCTTGATTTCACTCTTAAGCCTCGTCCATAGCAGAGGAATTCCTTGCCATGTGCGAGATCACATGATGAGACCATGGGTGAACATTTAGAATGCATTCCTGCTCCCTAGAAAATATTTTTCTAATTGTGATCTTATTGGAGTTTATTATCTGTTGCAGTCAACAACTTGCATCTTCATAGTACATTTAATGTGGTAAAATGCCATAAGGCGAATAAGACACAATTTAACACCAAGACAAAGAAGGAAATATTTAGGACAGGGGACCAGAAGCTTGGTCAGAGTTGTGTTTTAAGAAGCACTCTGAAGGAGATAGAGAAATAAAGAAGTTAAGACAAGGAATTCCAAAGCTTACTACCCCTGCATCATTGCCTCCAATGGTGGAGTAATTAAAATCAGGGTGAGCAAGATGTCTGAATGGGAGGTTGGCAGAAAACATGCAGAGAGGTACAGCTGGAAAAGTTTACAGATAGAGAGGGATGAGACTATGGGGCAATTAGAAAACAAGAATGAGAATTTTAACATTCAGTTATTGTAGGACCAGGAGCTAATGTAGTTGAACAAAGAGAAAATGTCTCAGTAGTACTTGGTGTGATTTGGGAATTGCAAAATGTATTTCTGAGCTTCTAACTGTTCCCAATATAATCAGTGAACATGCCTTGACTGTGTCTTACTACTAGTTTGATTCATCCTCATTATTATGGGCATCTTCTTCTACCTGTCCAATTTATAACCTAAGGATGTGCCGCACATCATACTTCTGTTTCAGTAAGAAACATTTTTCTACAGAAGCCCATGATGGGGTAAATTTCACAACAGTTGTGGAAAGAGATGCCATGGGTAGGGGAGAATGTTGTAATGTTGTTGCCAGTAGTAGTCGGAAGAGCAGGAATGAATCATTAAATGGTATGCCCAAGCATCGAACTTTCTTAGATAACAATGTGTAGAGCTGGATGAACACAGCAGGCC